AGAGTGTTCAAAGAAAATGAAGTCTGGATGTGAGAGGAAGTGAAGAAATTAAGTTTTCATGTATGAAAACCCTTAAATACATTTACAATCGAGATATTCTCGCTACACCTAGCCTTTCTCGCTACAGCAAAACTCTCTCTCATTATAGCGAAAATATCAGACAAAATTGCACTCTATTTTCTGCACTTTTCGCTACAGTGAGGGATCTCTCGCTACAATAGGACCATTCTCTTAACATACTCTCACACATATTTATTATAAGCATATAATTTTAATTGATATAAAAATAGGAATGTTATAGTAGAAGTCGCCTTCTATAAAAGACTTAGGCAATTTTTAAAAAAAAGACTAAGAATTCCAAGGAGCATGAGATCAAATTTTGAAACATATTTATTGTTGAACATTTTACCGTAGTCTTCACAATTTTAAATGTATAGTGTTTGATGTAGGATGCTCAACAAAATTCATTTAATTCAAGATAATTCACTACATGTTAATTCAATCCTTAAACACATTAACACTTAAGCACAAAATCATTTCTTTGGCTACTAAAAAACTTCTATATCTTGCTTCATTCTCATTTTATCCCATCAGCAAGAGATTGTTTGTAGAATCAAAATTCTAGTGTGTTAAATTTTCAATGATTCACAAAATTATTAAAGACAAATTTTATTAATAATTTATTGACTTATAATTTCTTCATCGTTAAGAGATAATCTTATTTATGATTATATTCATTGCATTTAGTTTTTATTTTATTTTCTAATATATATAAAGTAGTTGCGTCTTTCCTTTTGATGCACCATTCATTTTATCCTTCTAAGCATTAGTTGTGAGACTCTATTATGTTTGACTTTAAGCACACAAGTTGGAACTTGTAGAATGTTAACCTTGAAGAGTAAAATTGATTATCATTTTTGTTTTCAAGACAATGGTCTAAAGTACAATGCAAATGTTTGGTCTATATATTTCAACTGCTATGTACTCATGTATGCATTGATGTTTGAATCAAAACTTGAAAGAAATTAAAAAATGACTATTGGATTGCATAGGATAACGCTTGATGTGAGCTTGAGAAATAAGGTCATAACATATACATAGCTCTATTATTTGGATAGTTTTAAATAGACGCACTTGATGTACCTACTTATGTGAGATTGAAGGTATAGGTCACTTTTTATGAAATACAACAATATTCTTTCAAAGCACTCCTTAGCACCTCAAAGTGTACATAAAAGCCTCAAACATTTATGAATTTTTTTAATATTTATTATTTAATTATTAAATTAATTAAATAATATTTTATTTTTAATTCATAACATCTGAAAAATAAAAAAGTTTCTGTTTTAATAGAATAATAATTTAAAATTGATTGAGTTTAAATTTTTATAAATGTCAAATAACTAAGAGTATGTTTGTTTGCATTTTTAAAAAGAGTTTTCTCTTTTTAAAAACTAAAATAAGAAAAAACTCTTTTTAAATATGCAAACAAACATACCATAAATATTTTAGTTAAATGATTAATTTTTAATTTTTATATTTTTTTTATCATCTTTATATTCTTTTTTATTGTCTTTCTATTTTCTATATTGTCATAGTAATAAAACAAGTAATATTAAGATTAAAAAAATGTTCACGTGTAGAATTGATGGTTATATAGAATGGAGGGTTATAATGAAGTAACCGTAAAATACGTCATCAAAGTTATATTATTATTATTATTGTATAATCTTGATTTATATAATTTTTACTTTAATCTTAATTAAAGGATAATTTATCTTCAGCGTAATTTTAATTAATTTTTATTATTATATTTTAAAATTTTGAAAAAAATTATTACTAAATTATATCAATATAAATATGAAATAAATTTTTATTAAATAAAACTATAATTGAATAAAAATAAAAGATTATTTAATTATTTTAGTAATTAATTTATTAAAATTTAATTAAATTATCATAATAATTAAATTATAAATATTATAAAAATAAAAAATTTAATTATAATAGAAATCGTATATCATATATATGACTTTTATCATTGAATAAAACAAATACTGCATACAATTTTTATTTATTTATTTATTTTTTAAAAAAAGAGTCGCATATCATATATTTTTGTTTATATAAAAAAAATAAATATAAGTCATATATACAATATACAATTATGTTTTAAAATAAATAAATATAAAAAATATCAATCTCTGGTACAATTTTATTTTATTATTTTTTAAAAATATTTATATTGATAGTTGTCTTTAAAGGCGGGTGATATATTCTATATATAACTTACACTATTTTATTGATAAGTTTATAGTTAACCTTGTAGAGTGAACTATTTTGATAAAAAAAAAAGAACTTTTTTTTTTGTTGACTCTTTTTTATTTATGTATTTATTCACGTGGAGTTTTAAAATTTTTTCTTGTGAAAATACATGTTAATAAACAAGACAATAAGTTAACATTGCATTAATGCTAAATGATTTTTCAAGTATTATATTTTAGTAGGTAATTTTTACGGTGCTTTTTAAATTAATAAGGTATTCTATATCTTTTCATATATGAAATAATTATTATTCTTAATTTTATATTAATAGATAATAGGGTTAGTAGTTTATTTAGAACAAACGTAAATGTTTTATAATATTTAAGATATTAAATAAATCACAATCATCAAATTTAAAGAAGGATATATAATACTCACTTAAATTTACATAAGAAGCATCATTTTAGTATTCTTGCAATTAAATGAAGAGCATATAACTTTCCTATTATTCTAGAACTGTTCATTCATTCTTATTTATTTTCTTTCCTTATGACTTTCTTATTATTGGCACTGCACGTTTGTAAAGGCTCATTGCTCCTAGCCTTGAGTGCAGAAGTCCAACTCCGAATGTAAACTGTGGAGACAAACCTAGTTTCAAATTACCACAGAAGTCCATTTAAAAATATTCTTTTAAGATAATGCCATTTTTTAAGACACAACATTTTTTTTCCTAAGTTTCTAACCATATAAATATATATTATAAGTTTGGTTTGTCTTGATTTAGTTCAATTTTAACCATAAAAAATAAAAATTAAACTAAACTGTGTAAAAAAAATGATTTTTTTCAACTTTTGTTAAATCAGTTTTTATGTTTTTAATAAATTTAGTATTTTAAAAAAACTAAATGTATTTTTTTTAACATCTTCACTCATCTTAAAATTTAATGATAAAATAATCCACAAACTTAATTATTGTATCCACTTAAACATCATTGGTCAAATTCTAAGTTTAGGGTAATCTGTGCATTCTAAGTTGTAATACATGTTGACTAATTGAAAGTTTATAACCTTTTATCTATTAAGTTTACAAGTTCGCTCGTTTATAACTTAAATATCTTAATTTATAAATAAATTATATGTTTGAATTATTCAATATTTTTTATGAATTAAATTTAATTATTATTTTACTTTTTTATAAAAAAAATATGTTAATTTATTATCTAAATGAGATGTATAAGTATAATAATTAATTTAAGTGATCCATTGATTTGAGTTTGAATATCTATAATTGATCAGATGAATTAAAGTGTATGTTTTAATACAAAAATTCACTATTGAAAAACTAAGGTTAACATTTTGTATGTTTAGTAAGGTTTCCTTTATAACTAGTGAATAATCATCTACTCACTGAGTGCAACTTGTTCTCAAAAATTGTAATGTAGGAGAATGAATTACTGATATCCAACATATTACTTGTAAAGCTTGAATATGATGATTTTTATTAAAAAAAATTACGTATTCAACAAGTTTTAAAGTTTATTATAATTATATTTTATGTTCTAATTTTATATAATCTTGTCTGAATAATTTAACTTACATTGTAAACTTGTATTATAAAAACTTATAAATTTTTAAATAAATGACAAACTTGTGATATAAAAATTACTGTTTAGAATTGTAAGAAATGGAGATTTCTCAATTTTGTAAATTTTTTATCAAATTTCTTACATAAAATTTATTTATTTTACTTTTTCTATTGATATTTTGAACTAAAAGATATTAAAATAAATGATATTTGTAAATTTATTAATTAAAAATATTCAAGTGAACAGTTGAATTGAATATTTTTTCATAAATTATTATATAAGAGTTTATTTTATAAATTTGATTACGAAGCTTATTGAAAAAAAAATAAAAACTTAGTTTAATAATAAGAAATTTATTAAAATAGGATTATTAAAACATGTAAAAATTATAAATTATTCATAAAAGCTTCTTATACCCTCAAAATGTCTCCTGAAAAATGAAAGATTAAAATAAATTTCATTTACAATTTGTAGGAAATACAGTTGATATATTTTTCTTATTTCTCAAATCTTAGATACTTTTATTTACGAGGAAAAATTATTATCAAATTTAATTATTTAGTTTTCAAACTGTGTATCATGACGGTTAATGTAAAATTTTTACATGGTTAAATATAATCTTAAAATTAAATTAAATAAGAATTTAATCCTCTAAATATTGCTGTTTTTGAAATTAATTGTCATAGAAATAAATTTTAATATTTTTTTGTAATATTTTAAAGAAATAAAATATTAATATTATCTGTTTAATTAATAATTTATAGGTTTACTTCTTTTAAACAAAAATTATATTTTTATCGTCACGGTTAGCTTAACTTAAAATACCAAGAATATTAATTGAATTTTGTTCATTCATAAATATTATATTTTTCTCTCGAGAAGTCATGTTAGAGTATCACCGACCGCGTTTTTATTCGTAAATGCTACTTTAAATATTAACTTTTTCTTGGTCCTTACATTATTTAATGAGTTGGAATCACGTATTAGACAATTGTGTCAGAACTTCAATCATTAGGGGCCTTGACGATGACTTAATTACGTGTGAATGCTTCTTCCTCGAAATCAAACAAATACAACGTATGTGTAATCAGTTGACTGACTCATCAACTGATTATATATGCGATTAGGGTTTTTTGCTTCCTCCGTTCCCAATCTCAAAATCTACACATTGCAGCTTTTGTTTCGATACAGTCTCTCTCGATCATTTCAAGGATGGCTGAATCAATTCCATTTGCTGTTTCTTCAAATCTCATTCACAGGTTCGTTTCCGCACCCTTTCTTCAACCCGTAACTCTATTTAGCGTAGCTTTCCATTGCTCTTCCAAGGCTTCATGTGTTTGTTTCATGATATTATTTTGGAATTTCTACTTTTCTACTGAATTATATTTTAACTAAAATCAAAGCAAATCGTAATTATATTATTCTTTTAGCCAAAATATCACTTTCAAATTATTAAATTTATTTTTAAAGTAAAGCAATCGACTTGATACGTAAAACAACAATATATCATATCTAAAATTTTAGAATAATTTTTTTGTCTCCCATAAAATCAGGTCTTCAATTCAAAAATCTAATACCTAAAATTCTAATAATTAATTATATGTTCTCTTTTATCTATCAATATATTATTTAATTTTTTTTATTAGAATAGATAATGTCATGTAAAAATACCACAATCATTTTCTTCATAGGAAATTACAAGATGGATATACTATGCGACTCTCACTCTCTACTTTGTGATGCATTTTAATTTTTCAGGAAAGAAAATTATATAATTTTAAAATAGGAGAGAGAGAGAGAGAGAGTAATGTAATATATGCATCTTTTAAGCTAGAAAATTTTAATTTAATATTCTATTTATTACCCAGAAGAATTTTCTTTTTATTGTTTCTTCGTCAATCATGATTCTTATATTTTAATAAATATAAATATAGGGCTGAATCAAATTTCATTATTAATTTTTAAAAATATTGATTATATTTATTAATTAATACCACAATTTAATCATGATAGTAAAAAAAAAAACAAAAACTAATGTATAATGTTTGTAAAAAAAAGTTAAATATAAAAAGATGAATTAAGTTGTTATTCCACACAGATTCTTTTTATTTTTAATTAAGTCATTCTAGTTAAATTGTTTTTAATTAATTATTATAACTTTATTTTTTTAATTAAAGTCTTAACGATTAATATCATTATATCTGTATTAAATATCAATGAGATGACATTTTTAATTTACTAACCTATTATTTTATTTTAAATTTTCTTTTTTATGATTAATTTATATAGTTAAATTTCTCTAAATTCTCAAATCCTATTATTGCTAGGTGATAAAATATAATTACCAAGTTTAACACTCTACATAATTGATTGTCTAAATGAAATACTATGGATTTGTTGAATAAAATATTATGCAAAGAGAGTTTTACAGTGAGACTAAATATTATTGGTAAAATACTGAAAATTACTCTAGAAAAATTAAATAATATCAGGTATATGAAATAACAGCGTTAGATAATATTTTAAATGCATTATATTAATATCCATTAATAAAATTTTCTATATTTTTTATCAGTGTGAATTTTAAGAATATCTTTAAATTTTTTTTCAAATGACAGTACATCTAAATTTAGTTCATTTTTTATTGCTCCAAGTGATTTTTATTATGTAAATTATTTATTTTTAATTTATTAAATTAAATTTTGAAATTTTATTTTTTTATTTACCTAATGTAATAAACATTTATTATTAATAATTAAATTTAATTGTTTTTAATTTATAAATTTGTTATAATTTTAAAATTGTTGTGTAATTATTTAGTAAAACATATTTTAATTTAATAATACGGTACAATTTATAAAAAAATCAGTGGTAATACTATGGTGTGTCGGCAAGTATTCAAATCAATAATAGAAAAAATTGAATGCGATACTTATTAGTGGCCTGAGTTAATATAACATTTAAATTCAGCACTGTGTATTTAGTTGAATCACTCAATTGTTTGAAATGATTGATTCCTTTAGTTTTTATATTAATTAAATTCAAATATAGTTAAGTGAGGTCACATCACTATTATTACTAATAATAGCACTTTTTAAAATTAATTCTTACCATTGATTCTTGGTGTTAAGTGATCTTTTTCTCGTATGATTTGAACACATCATAAAGGGAATGTTTGCCACTACTAGATCAAACTGCATAAACTTGCTTTTGAATGTGCCACTACTGTTAGACAAATAATTACAAAGTATAAGAGAATAATTAAATTGTAACACCTTAATTTTTATTTTAAATAAATAAATTTCGTAAAAATAGAAATAATAAACAATTCTTAATATATAATTTATTAAAGTATTTCAAAATAGGATAAATTACAAATTTGAATTAATCATTGCTACAAGACTTAATTAATACATTTTAGTTCCAAAAATAAATATTCTAAGTCCTATAGCAGTATTATCCATATTTTTACTGAGCCTAGTGCTGATCATCTTGATCATCTGAAAAATAAACGTAAGGGTGAGTACTCTACACTATCACACGTAAGTACAGACTTTTCCAACATATTCAAACATCATCACAATTACATCCAACATGCCATTCATGCACATTTCCAACCATTCAAATTATTTTGCATCAAGCAATGACATGCTAACACATAATTTCATCGACAATCTCAATCTAATCACAATATTCACAACATAGCACGTATGCCGACATTCAATCATGTTATATTTAACCACACAACATTTCCAACACGATTCCAATTACAATCAAACCATTATCAACACACGCACTATTCAACATCAACAACATTGTAGCCAATCACACAATTTTCATCACATTTCCTCACTAGTCATGTTCAACACGAAATGTACATCAAAACCCATATATTCTTACATTTTATCCTAATCATATTGCAATACATAGTCAAATAAACAGATTCAAAGCACAATGAGATAGGGTAGAATCCTCCCTTACCTCAATGTTCCCTACACAATGCTTCATCCCTAAAACATGGGAAATCTCCATGAGAACTCAAGAAAACAATGAAAGGGACGAAAGACCAAAACTCTAGCTCACAAAACTTAACTCCAAACGTTTCAAACATGATTTCAATCTTCAATCTAGCTCCCAAACAGCTTTAGAGGCAATTTAATCGGTGAAATAAGGTTGAGTTAAGAGAATCGAAGAAATTTTGAATGGAAAAATGAATTTCTCAAACCCTAAACCCCTCAAATATCCTTCTAGTCGCGACACTTTCGCTACAGCAAAAATCTTAGAGGAAACTGCACTTTAATTTCTGCAGAATCTCGCTACAATGAGACTGCACAAAAAAATGCACCCCCTCTATTGTCTTCTCGCTATAGCGAGAACGCAACAAATTCATGCTTTTTACCCAAGACCTTCTCACTACAGCGAGAATGCCACAGATCCGTGCTCTTCGCCCAAGGCCTTCTTGCTTCAGCGAGAATGCCCCTACAGCAGACACTTTCCCTATTGTCAATCCAATTCCAGTTATACTCAAATATTTTTCAATTCAATCACAAACCAACATATACGCTTATACTCATATACACATATTCATATAAGTCCACGTCATTACACATATATTCACATCATCATATACATATATCAAATACACATTCAAATAGAAACCCACACTTTATATTAATATATAAAATATCATTACAAAATTCAAGACGTTACATAAATCTTAATACTTAGGGGATATTTAACATTCTCACATAATTTAGTGAATTTTAATTTAAGGTCATCAAGAATGATCTTCATCCATAAAAGTTCACATACTTCAGTTTTAACACTTAATTTGGCCACAATATTTTGTTTCTTGCTCCTCCATGCTACTAGATTTTCTCTTAGAAACATACAATATCTTGAAGTGAATTTTCTATCTACAATGAAACTTGCATAGTCAGTATTTGTATATACCCCTAAGACAAGAAACTCTCCCCTTTTAAAGAGAATGTCTTGTTTAGGACTTCCTTTTAGATACTAGAGAATCTTGTTTACTGCTTGTCAATGTCTTTCTTGTTGATCATGCATGAGTTTGCTAGTAATGCTAACAATATATGCAGTGTCAGGTCTAGTATAAGATAAGTAGATTAACTTTTCCACTAGTCTTTGGTATTGAGCTTTATCTACAATAGGATATTTTTCTTCTCCTCCTATTCGACATTTTTGTTCCATAGGTATTACAATAGATTTAAATATCAAATTTTCAATCTCCTTAAAAAGATTTAGAACATATTTTCTCCAAGAGATAAAAATTTTCTATTTCAAGTAAGCCACCTTAATTCCCAAGAAGTACTTTAGTCTTCTCAGATCATTCATCACAAATCGAGCAGCTAGTTTCCTCTTCGAGTTCTGTTTTATGTAATGCCCTTATTCTTTTAAATATTTTTCCTTTGTTATATATATAAATTTTGATAAGACTTAATTAAAATAGATAAAAGATGGATAATTTGGAAAATTTTACATTTATATAAATTTGAAACTAATAGAACTTAACAAAATTTTAAAACTTCATACATATGTCTTATTCATATTAGAGATGAAATTTGATTTTCACAATATAAATTTTCTTTTTATCAAAGTAAGGATTGAAATTACGTTTTAAATAATTAATGACTTTATAATATATATGTATATATATATATGTATATGTGTATATATATATGTATATATATATATAAATAGGTTTTTCATAGCAAAAAGATGAGAGACAACATATCTAATATCAAGTTCTCCTTGATATTCAAAGGAAAGGTACAACATTTTTTATGGAAGATATTGTCCAAAGGACCAACGTTCTTCTTGAGCATGAAAAAGTAGAACAACTTTTGAGTAGAAGGAAAATAACAAAACAAAAGTGAAATTGAGAGATCAAGCTTTAATAACATACTTGGAATCAAGTAGAACAAACATCTAAGTTCAGATTTGAAAAAGTTTTGAAGTTTAAAAGAAATTTTCTCTAAGAAAGGAAGTGAGAAAAAATAGAATGATAAGAGAAGGAGTTACTAGCTAGGTGTTCTAAGTTTTAAAACATTAAAGCTATTTATATATTATTTTCACTCTCGACTTCTCGCTTGAGCGAGCAGATTCTCACTTGAGTGAAGCTCATTCTCACATGGGCAAGAACATCAGACATAAATTTACACATGTCCTCTGATAATCTGTCTTAAGTGAGATGCCTTCTCACTTATGTGAGATCTAGTCCAAAGAGCTATTAATTTTC